AGCTGAACAAATTGTAGTGTATGAGTGTAATGGAATACTATTGTGCTATCAGAAATGATCAGCAGGCTGACTTCAGAAAAACCTGTACGGTCTGAGGCTGAGTGAAGTGAGCAGAACCAGGAGAAGGTTGTGCACAGGAACAGCCATGTTGTGTGATGACTAATATTGACAGACTCAGCCCTTCTCAGCAATACAAGAATCTAAGACATGTCCAAAGGCCTTGTGATGGAAAATGCCATCCACACCCAAAGAAAGAACTATGGAGTTTGAATGTAGATCGAAGCACACTATCTGCTATTTTTTTTTTCCTTCTGTTGTGTTTTGTTTCCTTTTTCTGGTGGTTCCTCCTATCTGTTCTATTTCTTCCTTACAACAGCACTAATGTGAAAATGTGTTTAACAGGAATGGATATGGAGAGCCTATATCAGATTGTGAGCTGTCTTGGGGAGAGTGGTGGGGAGGGAGAGGGAGAAAAATCTTAACCTCAAAAGCATATGGAAGTAATTACTGATAAATCAAAATAAATTAATAAAAAAAAGAAAAAAACCCGTTCTTTTTCTGTGTCTGTGTTATTGTCCATGTGTTCATGCTGCCTCCCTGACCCCAGTGCCCTGGGCCTCTGTTCTTTTCTTCCTTCCTCCCTTGGTCCTACCCCACACTCGGACTGAAACAGAGATCCAAAGCGCTCATTGGGACTGGCTCCATCTTGAGCCTTCCTGCCTGACTCTCGTCCTCCCTCCCCGGCCCATCCCGCTGTCTCTCACTCTCGATCTCCGTGAGACTCCGCTGGGCTTTCTCCGTGTCTTCTCGCTTCTTATTGAGCTCGTCCAGCTCAGCCCGGAGAAATTCACTCTCATCGGCCGCCTGCTGACGCAGGTGTCTCTGCTCCGCCAGCTCTGCCTCCAGCTCGCTGATCCGGCCCTTCAGCTGCAGCAGCGCCAGGTGTTTCTGGGAGAAGACCTCAGGTAATGAGAATGGTGACCCCTGCTTCTACACTGTGTTGGAGACAGCGCGTGAGGAGGGATCCCATGGCTGCCGGGGACCAGGCCATGTTCTCAGCACTAATCAAATCTTCCTAAGGAGCTGCTGTCATGGTGGCTAAGCCTGCCAAAGCATCTGATATCTGGGGAGCTAAGGAGCCAGGCCTGCAGGCAGGAATGGTGCAAGAAACACTGGGGATGCTCGTCCTGAGGCCGGCCATCAGACCTTGGGCCAGTGACCGGGACCAGGAATGGGGGAGGAAAGGCTGGCTCTAAGCCTGGGAGGTGGGGCTTCCAAAAGCCTCGGGTTTTCCAACCGTTAACCACAGTCAGAAGTCAAAGGCTGCTCCCAGTGGGTGAGGGGCTGCAGGACCCCCAGGCCCACATGGAGGGCCATCGCTGCCATGGGCAGTACTGTTCACCAAAAAATAAACACAGTGATACAGTGGGTGAAACGTGAGGTCAGGAGAACATCTTATTGGTGGGGGGACAGGATATGACAAGATCCGTCTGGGGCTTTCAACAGACACAAGTTATCTGACTCATCAGAGTCCATCAGAGCAGAACGAAGCTCAAGGCTTCCCAGCATCAGATCAGAAACCGCAGAGGTCCAGGGGGACCACCCTCGTACCTCGGCTTTAATGTTCTCCATCTCTTTCTTCAGTCCGTTGATCTCCCGGTACAGATGATCAATCAAGGTATCCCTGAAAACAGCGGGGCAAGAAAGGCTGCTTCAGCATTACTGACCTCCTGCTTTCTTTAAGTGGGGCGTGGGTGGGGATTCATAGGAGATGGCACTTTGAAAGCCCTTCGGTGACAATCCTTGGGCGTACAATGTGGTGCATGGGATTTCAGCCTCAGTTGATGCTCTCCTGGGGCTGGAAGAGCAAACACTGGAGGCCCTGATTTGGAGTTAGAAACCTGGGTTCAAATCCTGACTCTACCACTTACTACTTGTGTGAACTTGAAACAAGTCACTTCCCCTAACATGGAGGCGTCATAGAAAGGGTAACAGATCTCAGTTCACAAGCCCTGCATTTGGATTCCAGCTCTGCTCATTTCATAAGCAACCTGGAGCTTTGCCTAAGTTACTTATCCCTTCTGGGCCTCAGTTTCCCAAGCAGTAACACAAAGAGATTAGACTAGATAATGTCCAAAGTCCTTTCCCACTTCGCTCAAAGAGGCTGCAAGGGCAAACATCTTGGAGGTCAGGACATCCTTTGTCTTTCCTAACTCCTTCTAAAGAGATCGGGGAGATGGCCAACTGGGTTAGGAAGGCTGAAGATAACCTCCAAGGCCCACCTTTTACAGGTCACCCTCTCATTCTGAGCCAGGCAGGGGCTGTTTTCTGGACTTACTTCTTTTCTCTGTTCCTCATGCCATTCTGATTGTTGAAGTTGAAAGGGTCGCTGCTGAAAGAGCTGCCGAAGATATCGTCGAATTTGTTGTCAAAGAAATTCTGCAGTGGCGGGGAGAGAATAGAAACATGGGATGAGGGGCAGGGGACCCCGTGCCTGGGACAAATGAAGGAAGTTATGCAGACCCCAGGCGAGGACTGGGGCTCAGACATGGCCTAGGTAAGAAAACTTCATCACAGTTCAGGCAAATCCCCTAGGCCTGAATGATTCCTCTTTGGGAACCCAGATACTGTAGTAGAACCGGCTTAAGACATGCGCGTCAATGACATCTGTTCAGAGTTCGAAAGGACTTAGAAGGTCTCTATCTTGGTCCCCTCCTCTTATTTCCCATCCTACTCTCTTGGCTCTGAAGCATGAGAAAGTCTGCCTTCCTCTCACCTGCTGAGAAGTGGCGTCCATTTCCATGAGGTCATCTTTCTCCAGGACGGGCTCGCTGTCTGGGGACGAAGCCTCCACCGGGATGACCACCACGGGGCTGATGTGTTCTGACAAGGCTGAGGCCCGCAAGAAGTTGGGTGGGTTCTGAAGGGGGGAGACTCGGACTGAAGGCTTGTCATGTTCTAGGGCCCTCCCATCACATCCCACCAGGCCCTTAGGAGGGAGAGCCCCTCCCTCCTAAGGGATCTCACGTGTCCACGGGCCCGTGGCAGCCTCACCTCAGGAAGCTGAGGGATCTGAATGAGACGCTTGAAGTATTGGAGATTGCTGGAGCGGTAGAAGAGATCTTTCAACCTAATGGGGGGAAGGTTGTCCGTGAGCAGACGGAAAGGCTGCTCCCTGAACAGCCCTCCCCACGCTGAAGGGAGGTGCTGGTGAGGGGCCCTCTCTAGGTCATTTGGACTCAATTATGATTCCAGTAGGGGCAAGGGTCATTATAACCAGTTCCCTAGTAAAGTATGTTTCCAGCAGCTGAAAGAATTCCCAAACAATGGACAATCCAAAAGTTACCTCTGTTTGACTCTGGATTATACGGGGTTTTTATTTTGCATCTGATTTACCTTTTTAATTACATCTGGCCTATAGTAATTTTCAAAAAAGGTTGTACTGCCTGAGCTCATGCTAGCTGATGATAGGGAAGGGGCCTGCAAGCATCTGTGGTGCCAGTGTGATACAGTCTGTTTTAAAGAAACACTTGCTGTGTGTAGACCACAAGTAGACAATGGAGAATTGGCTGTATGATGCTGGTTAGGTAACGAAATACTTACAATGATCTGCCTCCCTCCACTAGCAGGCATTATAAATAGTCTAAGTGGGACACTCCCTACTTATGTCCTAATCTCGGTAGGATACTGAGATGAGGGAGACAAAACCTCTCCTCTCCACTCCCCACTCCTACCTTCTACCTTGAACCCAAACTCTTATGATTTGGAAAGGCCACAGTCCTAGGACCCACATGCTCTGAGATTTTAAAAATGGCAAATCCGGGGCTCAGGACTTCCATTCTCCTGAGCATTGGAGCTCAGAATCTTCTCTGGTTCAGCCCTATTAACCAGTCCCTTTGGGCTCTCCAAACCTTTACAGTCAATTCTCTTTTTGTCTCCAAAAGCATCAAACCTGCTACCATGCTACCTTCCTTCTTCTCAAGGGCAGGGAGGGCACACTGAACAGCCAAATACTGGGGCAGAGGAAGAGAGACGGGGGGCACTCATTTGGAAAGACTCATTCAGATGTTGGGAAATTGGATGGAGTCAAGCATCCCCTCCCCTCGGAAATGGAGCCAAGAGCTATGGGCTCTCCCAATTCTCATAAAGCACTAGTATTTAACATTCAAGGAAGAGAGCCTCAGGGCTGGGCTCTTAGGATTTAATAAGTCGGCAAAGTCTGACTGTTAAATAAGCCATTTACAGGGCTGTTCAAAGGGAACACGCAAACCAGGAGGTCGACTTAACCCCGAGCTTGTCCTTTGTTCACTCCCAGAGGAACCCAGCCCTGGGCCTAGGAGAACCATGTTGGCTCCATTCTTGGGGATGGGGATGATGGGGCTGAGAACCATGGCATTGAGTGAATGGACTGGAGTGTGAGGTCAGGACTCTTGGCCCATCTCACTGCTGTGCTTCCAGAGAGCTGGAAGTGACTGGCGAGGCCTCTGGTTAGCCCAGAGGGTAACGAAAGGTAGCCTGGGCGAGCCCTGAAAGGTTTGCTCTGCTTGCTTGGGGAACCTGCGATAGTCTGCTCACCATCTGATGCTATTTCACTTTTGTCTCAGTACTCCCGAGGAGCCTGCTGAGCCCCTGGGGGGGTGGAGGGGGTCGCCACTGGGTGTCTCCATCAGTTCTGTGAAGGGCCCTAAAGATTTGTTAACCTCCCAAATATCTATTCTCCACCGATTCTTTGAGTGTTTTCCCAAGATGGCAAAAAGTGTTGCTCTGCTCCACTTGGTGGAAGAGTCGAACTGTCCAGGCTAGACTCAGACGTGTAATCACTAAAGGAGATACGTGATGGGTTGGGCAGTTAGCAGAGCTTCGGTTCTTTTGACCCCCTATGTCTTTTTTTATTTTATTATTCCTGTTCAGTTGTGTCTGACTCTCCATGACCCCATTTGAGGTTTTCTTGGCAAAGATACTGGAGTGGTTTGCCATTTCCTTCTCTAGCTCATTTTACAGATGAGGAAACTGAGGCAAACAGGATGAAGTGACTTGCCCAGGGACACAAAGCTGATAAGTGCCTGCGGCTGGATTTGAACTCAGGTCCTCCTGACTCCAGGCTCACACTCTATCCACTTTGCCACCTCGCTGCTGCCTCGTCTCCTTTGATACCTCAGCCTAACTGCCTCCCCTTGTCTGGAGCACCCTGTTAGTATCCTTTGACTATAGCTCTTCCCCCAGCCACTTAACCTTACCCCTTGCCCCCAGCTTGCCCTCCCCGTGGGAGGCTCTCTCTTACGCCCTAGCCAACCAACCCTTCTCCCCCTCATCAGTCAAACAGCTTCAGGCAGATGGTCACTTAGTAAATGAGCAGCACCCCACCTCCTGGGGACCCCCTCTAGGTCTGATCAGAGGGGAGGTGACAGCTTTCTCAGCCCAGACTCTCAGCGGCTTCTGACACCGCTCCTGCTCCTTCCCCCAACTTTTTAAAGAAGAGATTAATTAAAAACTTAGTATTAAGCGACAATTCAATAAACTAAACTTGCTTTAGTAACTATTTACATTTAAATGACTTCATTTTCAATGCCTAAACCATGGCGAACTTTCCAGTCCCTCCAAGGCTTCATCAGGTTTCTCTCTCCTTCCCTTTTCCTCTTCTATGATCATGGTTGGTGTGCTCTCTTTCTCCTGCTTCTGTTTTGTCCTTCCCATCATTTCATCAAGGTTTCCCCAGATTTCTTTATATTCCTTATACTTGTCCAGACAATACGATACATGTATTTTAAGCATTTCTGAATTCCTAGACTTTTTCTGTGTCATCTGCAGCTTCTGCAAAACTCCCCCAAAATTCCCATTTTAATTTTACTCGAAATATACAGAAACCGCAATGGGGAAAGTCGAGATGTGGAAGGGATAACTGTCAAGTAACGCAATTTATATAACTATTGTTCTATAGGTTGCTTCTAATTTTTTTGCAATTATAAATAATGCTGCAGTGAAAACCTCTGAAGAGATCCCACGATCATATATCTAGAGATGGAAAGGACCCCTGAGTACAATTCCTTTATTTTTTGGATGAGGAAACTGAGCCCCAGGAAAGTTAAAATGACTGGCCTGAGTGGTAGGCCTCAGAGGTGGGATTAGAACTCAGCTCCTCTGACTCGGGAGCCAGTGCTGTCTCTATTATGGCATACTGCCTCCCTCAGAGCATCCGTCACCTGGCTGTAGGCCCTTTCCCTCATTATACATTCCCACCTGTATGTGAGAAAGAAAGAGCTTTTAAAAAACAACACACTTTAAGAGTGTATTTCCAGTGTGATGACTGAGTCAAGAGGTAGGACTGTTTCTGCGACTCTGTTTGTGTACTGCCAGGTGGCTCTCCACAAAGATTTCACAAGTTTCTTTTCCTGACTTTTCCCCTGTAAAATGCACTCATAGCGCAGAGCCCGTCCACACCTGTTGGGAGGGCCTCCCACGGCCAGAAGCACCCAGGCACTTACTTCCTGAATTGCTCCATGAAGCGGTCCCGGTGGCCCTGGAGGGTGTCAGCAGGAAGACCTGGGGGAGATGGGGAAGAAAAAGACTGAGAGAAGGGAAGGACAGAAGCAGGAACAAGAGGAAGCTGTGGGAAGGGAGCGGGACGATTCTTGTTTTCTCCGGAGTGGTTTCCAGGGCCATTGCTCTAAGTAGGGAACTCTGAGACCCTGTGCCGCGGGGCAGCCTTGGCACCTCCCAAGTCCAGCTCAGTGATGAAGGAGCCCCAACCCGGGCAGGAGCAGCGACCACACGGGCCCTGCAGCAGAGGAAGCGAGTGGGAAGATTGGAGGACATCGGAGCTTGGGTAAATCGTGGCACTCAGGGCCAGAAGGGCCTTTCCAAGACGTCCAGCCCAATCTCCTCATTGTTCAGGAGAGGAGACCGGCCTGGGGTGGTGACAGGCCTGTGTGAAGTCATCTAAATGAGTGGCAGATTGGATCTCCAGCCCTTGGATTCTAAATCCAGGGCCTTTCCCTTTCCCACGCCGCTGTTCATCCTGAGCTAGGGGCAGTGGCACACAAACTGTGGGGCATAACATCTGACAGGCTTCACATGCCCTGTGAATTGCCCCAGTAAGGAAAGGTCTTAGTAGAAACGAGAGGCGTCAGACATGCTGCTGACTGGTGAGCCTCCAGTGAGGATAATGGGGGTGTTCTGGGGCTGGAGGCAGAAAACCCGGGTTCTAGTGCCTCCTGCCTCTGGCCCTGTCCACGTCATTCTACGTTTCTTGGCCTCGGCGCACTCATCTACAAAATTACAGGGTTGAGCTAATTATCCCCAGGGTCACCTTGAGGACTCACAATTCTATGGTTTTAAATATTTCAGACGTGGCCTGCAGCCCAGTAGGGCTTTTGAACAAAAACAATTCATTACCTCCATCATCCCACAAATAGAAATACGTTAATCACAGGATAAGCCAGGCCTATTTAGTGTCCCAGGCACAGCACAGAGGCTCTGAATTATCCGGGTGAAGCGATGGAAAGATGCTGAGCCCCTGTCCTTTCTCATTTCCTCCCCTGGTCCAGGACCGATTCTTGTGGGCATCCCCATAGACAGTTGCCTTTGTCAGCTCAGTTTATGCCCCGTTCTTTTTCCAGGTCACAGCCACGTGGCCAGAGTGCTCGACTTCACCTAATCCCACACTCCTATCATGAGCAGCTCAAAGGCCGTCTCTTCCGTGAAGTCTCCTGGGACTGACAGAGAGGGGCTGCTTCCCCTTCTCTCATCCTCATTTGTGACCACTTTGACCCTCCCTGATCTCAACAACTCTGAATTTTGTGCTGATGCTTTCTTTTCACTCCTAAAATATACGCTTGGTGTGTTTGTGGCTTAATACTTCCTGCCCATTTAGATCTTGGTCTGCCATTTCCATTCTGGTATCCCTTGGCAGGAGAGATGTTTATGAAAGTAATTGTCTGAGGTCATGCCCTGCTATGACAGAAACCAAGGTCTGTGTCCCTAATATGAGCGAATCAAAGCACACAGTGAGGGCTTTCTGGTCCTGATGATGATGTGAGGCTAGAAGGTAAGAGGAAAGAGAGTTTCCCTAGGGGAAAGTCACATCCCACCCTAAAAGACTGCTGGAAACCATGATGTCTAACATGTCACTGCCTCGATACTTAGGTCCTGAGCGGGATGCCATTCCAAAGAAGGTTTTCCTGACCTGCTCCAGAATCTCCATGGCCTCCTTGGGCGTTGGGGTCTCTCCAATAGGCCTCGCCCTTGAAGCTTTACTTTCAGGTGACCCTGAGGGGACCAGGGGTACACTAATGGGGTGACCTGCACTGACCTCTAGAGACGCTCTTCAGGGAAGAAAGGAACAAGGGCGTCCCCTGACGTGAAGGCAATGGGAGGGTGCTGGGCCTCCTTCTGGACAATGCTGACCAAAAGAGAGGAAGGGGAGGCCAAGCGAGCATTGGGCCTGGGCTGGTGGAACTCACAGGAGTGAAGTTTGAAAAGGAGCTTGACGGTGTAATCATACAGGTGGCTGCAGTCCAGAATGACCTGGATCAGGGGGGCCAGGCGGCACTGCCCCGCTGTTGTCACCGACACCGAGCGGGACATATCCAAGGAGCTGAACACTAGAAAGGAAGGCGAGAAGTGATGGGGCGAGGCAGAGGGGGCACAGGAGGTGGTACACAGGCCAGGGAGCCAGCGAGACCCAAGGCTCCCTGACCCTCGGACGGCCACTGCGGGCAGATCCGCAGGGAGAGGAGAGAGACATGGTCCTTGCTCTGAGGAGTGGGAGAGAGCTGTCTCCTGCCCTCAGAGAAGTCCCCATCTGATGGGGAGACACAACAAGTGAGAAGACCATTGTTTGAGACCCCCCACGTTTTTAGATTCCAGCACCGTGGTCTGGAGCCAGAACCTGCTCAATCTCCCTGGCCCAGAGCGCCGTACTAGTAATCAATCAGTCAGCAAGCATCTATTAAGCACCTACTGTGTGCCAGGCATGGTGCTAGGTGTTGGAGACCCAGAGACAAAAACATAATAGTTGCTGCTCTCCAGGAACTTACATTTTCTAATGTAATAAAATGCTGAAATGTGATCAAGACCAACGAGTGTAAAAAACGTCGCCAATTAGTATCCAACGAGGGTCACAGCCTCTTTAAGATCCGAGACCTGTCCCATTCTAATTCCCCATCTTCCGCTTTAAACCTGGTTCCTTCCTCCCAAGGACCCTCAAAATTTTGGAGTTGTTTTCAATTCTCAAATTGTGTTTCTTTTTTTTTGCTTTGTCTTTCCTAGCCATGTTTCTTTCCATTTCCACTACCTGCCGTATCTTTCCACTTGGCAAAGACATTAGTTTTTTGCTAGCTAACCCGGTTTCTAGGCTCTTCTGGATTTCTCATTGTGGACTTCTCACTTCCATGGTTAAATTACCCTAAGAAATAGCGGTGTCAATGTCTATTCTTTTATCTTTTTCCTCTCTGGAGGCATAAACAGTTTACTGAATAGGTCAGGCAGGGGTTAACTGCATGCTACATTATCTCATTTTTATTTTTATTTTTGCCTTCGCTTGTTGTTAGCAAAGATTTGCCAAAGAGTTAATCAGGAACGTATAAAAAGATTTAGAAGAGGTGTTCTTAACTTTTTGTGTGTCCTAGACCCCTCTGACAGCAGACCCCTTGGATGGAGCCTATGGACCCCTTCTCAGAATCATGTGTTTTTTTTTTTTTAAATTCATAATTGAAGAGCTGGTAAATTTCAGTAAGAGGTTAGTGAAAACAAAGATACAATTTTTTCCTATTCAAGTTCACAAACCTCTCGACATCTTATACACAGGGAGTTGGGAGTTGGTCCATGGAACCCAGGTTAAGACTCCCTTTTGTAGAAAAGAAGGTTTCTGGCATGCTGGGCAGAAGATTTATGGGAGAATAAGGGAAAACAAATCTCATGGGACCAGAAGGCATGGATGGCTTGCAAGGCGTACTGATGCAAGGAATACCCATGTTAGACAACAGAAATGAGGTGAGCCTCTCTTTACTTAGCCACACTGGTTCAAAAGGCATGTTCTGCCAATGGCTCCAGACCCAAAGCCTTCAGAGCAAGGCAGAAGGCCTAGCACAACCTTGAAGAAGTCAAGGCCACTGCTCTGCCACGATGAGGCATCAGACGAAGATGCACATTGATTTTTTTCATGTTTATTTCTGATGTCCCCAAACAGGCTGTAAGTATATGAGCCTAAAAAGCTAGAAGGGATTCCTTGAGGTCCATGGTAGGGGCATTCACAAGATGGGAGGGCTAGCTTGATGGCTAATCAGTGATACCATAGGAAAGACGTAGCCGGGCATTCTGACTGTGGAAATGAGGAGAAAGCCAGCCAAGGCTGGTGTCTCCAAGTATCACTGTCTCTGGATGCTGCTACTCCCCCATGTACTGAGAGACCCGCAGGAACTGGGAAGAGGAGGCCTCTTCACTGGGAACATTTCACTGATGTACTCTGAACGTGTAAGACAAAAAGACAGGTAGTTTAGACAAAGATGGCAGATCTGTGTGGTTTAGCACGTACAGAAGAGGTCACTTAGCCCACTTCACTTCCTGGATGGCTCTGGACACCCAGACCGTACTCCAGCTTTACATCCTGTCTGGATTAGGCTGTCCATCGAGGCCTCCTCACCATCTGTCTGTCACCTCTGACCTGCTCCTTCCACCTGGATTGGCCCCTCTACACTAGACCTGGGACCTAGACTTCCACCCTTGGGACATTCAGATCCAGGCCCTGAGCCCCAGTGCAGGAAAGTTAACCTACTTATCTTTAGAGCTCCTGCCCTATGGTCCAAGCCATTTAACTGCTGACTGAATGTGTGTAAGCTAGCCCGCCCTATCCTCTGATTGGTCCTAGACACTAGACTTTGCTTCATCCTACCCTGGCTATCTTATCATCTGCCTACTGCCAACTGCATGCTTTCTCCCTCCACTTTCTATACCTCTTGAATGTGGTGTTTTCTCCTATTAGAATGGAAACTCCTTGAGGGCAGGGACTATGTCTCTTTAAAAAAGTATATTCCCAGTGCTTAGCACAGAGCCTGGCATATAGGAGGTGCTAAATAAATGCACATCCACTTTCTCATTCAGCAGGAGTCTAGCAGCCATTCCAGAGCTGTTCAAATTCAGTATTTGACCAGAACATAAAACACACTCACACACAATATAAGCACAAAAACACACTCCAAAGCAAAATGTTAATGAATTTTGGGTGATCATTAGTACAGACCACCGAGAGGTGGGCTATTGCACCGAATGCAAGTGTTCGTAGGTTTCTTTCTTGAGAGCTGCCATGTCTTTTTCACGTGTGGACTCTTTGCTCTATTACATGGGGAGCCCTAAGCTTTGACCCAGATCTGAAAGAGATCCAGGAGGGCTGGAAATAGTACTTCCTGTTCCAAAGGAACTGCTCTGACATCTTCACAGGATCCTGCTAAATAAAGTTAAGCTGACTGAGTTCCTTCTTAATTTGTCCTCCAGGCATCTGATGGCTGGTGTTTTTCTCTCACATCCTGCACTGAAATGACAGGCCAAGGTTTTAGGATTTGGCCACCTCCAAGGTCAGAGGGAAGTGTAAGGTCAGGGTGGGCTACTGTCTCAGTGCATTTCATGCCTGGAATGCTCTCCCTCCTACCCCTGCCTTTCCTTCAAAGCTCACCTCAAGGATGTTCTTCCATTGGGAGCCTCTCCTGATCCCCCCCCCCCAACTTGGGCCCCCCAGATTACCTTGTCATTTTTTTCTATCCATACATATGTACATACTGTTTTTCCCCTCTCTATCTCTCAATGTGAAGTCCTTGAGGGTAGAGGCGGTTTAATTTTCCCCTTTGGGTCTCCAGGGCCAGCCCAGTGCCTGACGCACAGCAGGCATTTCATAAATGCCTGTTGATTGATTGAGCAGGGTACAAGGGATCTGAGAGGTGATTCAGTCTCTCATCCAGGGCAAGCACCCCCTCTGCAGTTCCCCTGGCAGGTGATCTCAACGGGCCTGCACTCAAGAGCCTCCGGGGGCAGGGACCTCTACTCAGTCCATTGTGAAAGATGTCTGATTATTAGAAAGTTCTTTCTTCTTTTGTCATCCCTCGAGGGAAGGGAGGAAGTGTGGAGGAAGCTGCTGCTTCCTTGCTAGGGCAAGATGGGGAAGTGCTGAGAGGCAAGAGAATATTCTGACCCCCTTGTAGCACCCACAGAAAGGTCCCCTCCAAGTGTGATCCACGGCGTTCAGCTGGAGGAGAGAGGCCTTGCTGACTTGTGACGTGAGTCGCACTGACTCTGGCATCAAAGGAGCGGCAGCAAGGTTTTCCCCCCTCTCCCCCAAAGACTGGAAACCCTCCGAGGGCAGGGACTGTTTCATTTGTGTCTCTGTAGGCCCTGCACGGTCCCTGGAACTGAATAAATGTTAGCTCAGGGATCTGATTGTATCTCCTCCGCACATATTGTATGCACCCATTCATCAACGTGTTGTTTCCCACCTCAGATTGTAAGCTTTTTGAGGGCAGGAACTCTTCCCTTTTGCCTTAGCGTCTAGCGCAGCACCTGGCAGACAGTGATTACCAAAGGTTTGTTGTCCGACCTGTGATCTGTGACCTGAATGCCAACTCGGTAGACGGACCATTTATTAAAGACTGTGCCAGGTGCGGGCTAAGCACTGGGGATTTAAATACTAGCAAGTGAGATGGTCCCTGCCCTCAAGGAGTTTGCATTCCAGCAGAAGAGCTAGAAGGGGGGATGCACTTGTTGTGTCCACAGTGATGCAAAGGACTGTGCCATGGGGACTGCTGAGCCTGGTGGTGGCCATTCAGGACCCAATGGTTTCAGAGTGGAAGGGTCACCAGGAGACGCGGAATGTGGGGCAGGTCCTTTTTGGAGACACACAGGGTGAGCTTGGTCTTTCTGCTCAGATATGACCATCAGGTATCCTGGTACCAAGTCATCACCCCTGGGCCTTGAGGACTGGCCAAATCTGGGGCATCTATTTCTGCTCCAGGGTTCCAGAGAAAAGAGATGACAGATATGGGTGCTCTTCCTCTAGAACCTTATTGACAGTGGAGCTGGTGTGGGCAGGGCACGGCCTAGGAGATGGGCGTTCCCCCTGCAGCTTGTACAGAATGGAAGGGAAGGAGACTCACCAGTCTGGAAGAGGTTCAGCTCACACTCCAAATAGTCAAACATCTCGACCGTCAGCTGGAAACTGAACCAGAGAGAAAAGAGGGGGCTGGTTGTAGCCCCAAGAACGGGTCTTTTCTTGCCTTCCTCTGCCCCAGGGGTGGGGATCCTGTGGCCACATGTGGCCTTCTAGGTCCTCGGGTGTGGCCTTTTGACTGAGTCCAAGTTTTACAGAACAAATCCTTTTATGAAGGGGATTTATTCTGTGAAGTTTGGATTCAAAGGACCTCGAGGCCCCAGCCCTGCCCTACCCTGCTCCCAGTGTGTGCCTGTCCCCTTACAACAGAGGCAGATGCCCTCTTACACCTTGCAGTGAGATCTGAATAAAAGGGTCACCTCGGATCATGCCAAGGGTGAAGAGATCGAGGCGTGAGCCGGGAAGGAAGTGTGGCAGCCCAGTGAGTGTGACCCGCAGGCACCCTTCCATCCGTCAGGGCCAACATCCCTAGATGCTCTCTGTCTCCCCATCAGGATCTGAGGCGGAGCGGGCACTCACAAGCACATGGCCAGCCCGTGTCAGGAGGAGACAGGAGCTCAGTGAGGGAGGGAGGGCCACTTACAAGTTGTTGACATCGCTCTCTCCTGCCTCATCCAGCTGCCGGTCACTCATCTGGAGGTTGCCTGGGAATCGGGGATTCTGGAAGGGAAGAAGCCAGAGCAGAGGATCAGCTCAGCATCCTTTCCTGGGTGGGGGCTCCATGTGGGGCTGGGCAGTAGAATGGTTAAGTCTGCTGGGCCCTATCACGATGCCCTCCCCCCTCTCAGGGTCTGTGAGGGGTCCCGTGTGGATGCCCACATACGGAGACCCTTTCTTTGGATACATTCACCAAGGAGAACATCCAATTTCTATTATTAGAGGTAAATTCTCTCCTCCGTTGCTCAGGCCCGCAAGAAGACTGCTCCCTGGTTCATTTGCCTCTTCCAAATGCCATGAAACCATGTGAGAAAGTGAAACCATGAGGAAAAGCCTGTGAATATGTTTGGCTCCCCTCTATACTGATGAAGTAGAGCAGAGGATTGTGGGTACCAAAGTAGTTGATTATGGTAGCTTGGTGGTAAGGTGGACTTGGAGTCAGGGAGACCTAAATTCTAATCCTGCCTCAGAAACTTCCTAGCTATGTGACCCTGGGCAAGTCACTTCAGCCCCTCTGCCTTAGGGCAAAAATGGGATAATAGTCACACATCCCTCTCAGGGTTCTTGTGAGGATCAAATGAGATAATATTTGTAAGCCTTAGAGCACTATAAATGCCAGCAATTATTAGAGCGATTGTCCATTGCAAATTCCTATCTTAGGCTGGCGTTCCCCATCCCCCTCCTGATTGTGGGAGCTGGGCTTTGGCAGTGGAAAACTCATTTTCATGTTAATCTACCAAAACTGAATTAGGAAAGCCAATGTGCTTTGGGGAAAATCCTACGCCACCCTTCCTAACCCTAAAGAAATCATTTTTGGATGACTCGTCATCTAATCTAGTGCCACCTGCAGCAGGGCTCGCTTTCATTAACGTGGCAGGGTGATTTTGGAGGAGAGAGAGGCAGTGCGATCCAGTGGATAGAGGGACGACCTCCGAGTCAGGAGGACCTGTCCCTAGCACGTCCTGTCTGGCTGACCCCAGGCTGGCTGGGAGGTTTACACCTGTGGGGCCCCAGGTAGGTAGAGGTCTGTGACTTGTCTAGCAGTCGCTGGTCTGCACTGGCAGAGGGCGTTTCCTCAAAGGCAGCTCTCTACATCACCGGGGTCACAGGTTCAGCCCCCCATTGCTCCCCAAAGACCGGAGGGAGCAGGGATTCTTGGTAAAATCATTTTCAAAATGATCTTAACAACCCCAACAAAAACAAAGACTTCCAAGCCTTCATGGCGATGCAGTCAGAGCCATCTCTGATAAGTACCTGAACAAACTAGCAGCCACTTCATGCCTTGGTTTCTTGCTGACCTTCGTCCTCTTTGGACTGTGCCCACAGAACTGGAGGGGCTGCTGCATTGCTGGCTGCCTCTGGGACATCTGTGTTCTGTTTTCTCCCCTTGGCTCGATGATACTCTATTGCTTTTGTATATACTACTTTAGGTAGCCATTCCCTAACCATCAAATGGGTCCTTTGTAGATTTTTGGGGGTATTACAAAACTGCTATGAATATTTTTGTACAAACGGGTCTTTTTTTCCTTCTAACTCTATCTTTAAGGTTCACCTGCCTGAGTGGTAGAATCAGTAGTTCAAAGGATATGATTAGTGTTGCATTATTGTGTGCTCTCTCCAAAAAATCAAGCCAATAGGCAGCTCCACCAACAATGTAATAGTGTGCATGGGCATGGGGATGACCAGCTGTTCCAGGGCCACCAACAGAAGGTAAGATAGCCCCAAAGGTGCCCTCAGCCGACACTCCCCAACAGAACACGATCAGCCGATGGCCGAACAGCGCGGTCGTGACTGGCTTCCCAAAGCACTGAGGAGCAGCCTTTGGTGAAATGGAGCAGTCACCCCGTGCCCAGATGCAGAAGGAGAGATGGGGATTCCCTGATCCTGAGGGCCCCTGGGGGAAAGCGCAAGAAGGCGAGGCTCACCTTGGTGTGGTACTCCATCTTGGTTCTCAGCAGTCGGAGGTAGATGCTGCAAAGCTGGCCGTAGCCCTCGCTCAGGTGACCCTGCCGCCAAAAGGAGAGAAAGAAGGTTCGGGTCAGGCGGAAGGGATCGAAGGGCCCTCAGGAGGAGGACCTCAGAGCGATTGGATCCTACCCTTCATTTAAAGATGAGGAAACTGAGGCCCAGGGAGGGGAAGGGACCTGCTCAGGACCACAAAGCTAGGAAGCAACAAAGGTAAGATTTGAACCCAGCTCCTCAGAGCTCTTTCTTCTGTAGCGAGGTGCCCACTTTGGGGCTCTTGGGTCCCCCACCCAGAGTAGCCCTAACCTGGAAGTGGCCACTCTGCCCATCTGTACATTAGAGAGAAAAAGGGGACCCTGGCTTCTGAGGGGCTGTTCTCTGGAAGCAGGAAAGCATTTTGAAAACAGTGTCAGGAGAATGTGAACCATAGTCTTAAGCTGAGTGTTCGGCCCTAGGCTGTGAGGGTCCAAAGTCAATCTTGGCCCAGAGGATTCACTGAGTCATCTATTGAGCTGACGTGGCTCCCCTTCTAGAAAAGCCAGGGTCGATCTTCTCTGGGCCCTCCCTGGTCAGACCTCCTGAATCCTGAGCACTGACCCGGAACGGGCTGGAGAGCGTCAGGCAAAGTGAGCCAGAAGAATGTTTTCAGCTGTTAACATGAATGGCGGGTAACGGTGGCCCATGCTGACTCCTGATGCGCCATGAGACAAGGGAGTCAGATCCTGGGTGATGTGGGGAGGAATAAAGGGAAAGAGAGGCGCTCTGTCATTTCCTCAACCAACATGCTTTTGTAAAAGGCTTCCTCTGCGCCTGGCACTGGGCTGGGCCATAAGAAGTGAAGTGGGCCCTGCCCTCAGGGAGCTTACATCCATCCTATCAGAGAAGACAGCATGTGCACATAATTTAAGTGTATTACACTGAATAAATATAAGGTAAATTAGTAGAAGAGAGAGGCAGGCCCAGGAAAGACCCCATATAGTCACAGGGCTCAAGTCCAGGCCTCTTGGGTGTTGGTGCTATGCTACCATTTGGCGGAGTCCTTAGTACCCCCATGCTCTTGGGGAGAGCCAGTTGGGGCTTGGGAATGAATCTGTCGTCTTGTGCCTGTGGCTAAAGGGAAAGGACAGGGGGTTGACAAGGCTCACGAGCTTTAGAGCCAGAAGGAGCATTGGAAATCTCCTTCATATACTTCATTTTACAGATGAAAAGATACGACCAATGAGGGAATGTGGTTTCCTGAATTTAGCCTATTTGTTATAAGGATTTTCTTGTTCTTTTTAACTGAGAGGGGAGGTGGGAGAGAAAATGAATGCTTGTTATTGAAAAAAAAAGTTGCATAAACCCCTCCAAACTTTCTCTGTCTCTCTCCCTCTATCTCTTTCATTCTGCACATACAGACACACCCATGCAGACATGTGCACACAGAAACACACACAAATACACACACACACACATACACACACACACGCAGACACAGGCAGAGAGTGCTTAAGGCTGCCCTCATGTCCTCCCCAGGCTGAATTTGCCCAGTTCCTTCCCTGATACTCATAGGACACGGTCTCCTGTGCCTTACCATCTCTCTAGCATCACGGCTAGGATTCAAACCCAAGTATCCCTACTCCCGATCCAAAAGAAGAGAACTGTTCCCAGGATGCAGAAGGAGTTACGTTTTTGCACATGGCCAATACGGGAATTTGTTTTGCTTCAACCATGTCTACTTATTACAAAGGTTTTGTACTGCCATTTTTTTTTCCATTGGGAAAGAGAAGAGATGGGAAGGAGAGAAAATAAATACTTATTAACTGAAAAAAAAATTTTTTTAAAAGAAGACACCAGTCCCAAAGGCTTGTCTCCAAACTCACCCACATCCTGCTCATGTCACTTAACTCATTTTTGTATCTCAAGGAGTCTTTCAGGACCTGGGGAGCAGAAGAGAAGTTACTCTGTGCAGTTAAGAGGGCAGCCAGGGTTTTGGGGGGAGAGGAAGGAAGGTGGATCTGCAAAGATGGACAAAGGAGGGGAAGCAGGCACTCAGCCCCTCAGTGGGGACCAAACAGGGCAGGCCACAGTTAAGGTGGCAGAGCACGAGGGATGGGGGAGCCTGACAAGCAGGGGCCACCAGCCCTCCTTCTCCACCTCCGTCCTCTTGTCCCCGGGTCCAGGCCCTGCTGACTCACGTTGGGATGCCCGTCCCGGAGAAGTTTGTGAAATACATGGCAAAACTTCCAGCAGAGTACGGCGTTGCTGGAGAGCGGCAGGCGGCTCACCACCGACCAGAAGGTCTGCGCTCCTCTCTCGTGGTGGGTTCCCAGAATGCACGGTGAGGAGGACGTTAAGGAAAAGATGAGCATGGGTCCTTGGCACAGGCAGGGAGGCTCCTGGCAGCCAGAGGCTTCAGCGGCCTTTGGCTACCTTGTGGTTGTGAAGGGTCACGGTTCTCCCCATCCCCACCAAAATGCCTCTTTCCACAGGCACCATCCACAGGAGATCTTGTATTTACTCCCTTGGGTTTTGCTGGAAACAGCCCTGTCCAGGGCAGCCACAGGGACCTAGAACGTCCTGCCTTCCTACCAATCCAAAGGGGTCCTCAGGTCTCAGTCCTTCCATGGAACCTCCCTACATTGAGTAAGCAGAGTTTAGAATGTCACCTGCCCTGTCTGCACACTGGACACCTGTGGCTCCTTCCTCTGCTTCCTTTCAAGAAGTATTTACAGGGCCAGCTATGTCCTGCTGCCCTGATCCTGCAAACTGTACAATGACATAAACATCACCGTTCATTCTTACCTCGTCCCTACTCAGTGTGTCTGCTCGAGGCCATCGCCTCTTGGAAAGCAAGGATCAGGTCAAGGTGATACTCTGACCCACAGAATTAGATAACTCATAAAGGCCTTTGGACTCTGCTGTTGCTGCTGATCTCAGCTAAAAGTATTCAAACCTTTAGATGAGGAGGGATCACAGAATCACTAATTTAGAGATAATATAATCCAGGCCTTTCTTTTTAGCGATAAGGAAGCAAAGGCCCAGAGAAGCCAGATTAAGCTTCTTGCTCAAGGTTATTTAAGGAGAAATTAGCACATTCAGAGTCACACCTTCTGAGCCTAAACCCAATGTCCTCCCCACTACTTGGCCCAGGAGGGCTCACTCGAGCATGTAGACTTTCAATTTGTTGGACTGGCCCTGCTGCCACTCCCCTGTGGGCTCCTGTCACAGCAAGGCTCTCCTTCCCCCAGAGAACATCCCTTGGACCCCTGGTGCCCCTGCATCCAGAGAACGCAGGCTCCAAAGGGGAAAGGCTGCCTGAGGGGCAGACAAGCTCAAGACCCTGGCTGGAGACTCTCCACAAACTGGGAGCAGTTAACCAAGCCCTTGACTTGATTTCATGATCGTCTGATTCTTCAAAAGGCCGAGGAAACTGAAGGAAACAGCTCTTCCGGGTCTGATTTCTGACCAAAGACGAGGAAAGGGCTGTGCAATGTCCCCTTCCGTGAGTATCTACCCATGGCACGGAGGGGATCGAGCGCAGTGCCAAGGTGAAGGAGAAGGCCCACAGATTGCCACCAACCTCAGCTTCCCCAGCGGCAGGGATCACAGGAGGGCGCCGTGGGGAGCAGCTTGTGTTTTAGAAAGGATTTTGATAACTTTCAATACAATTGATTTCCTTCATAATCCCATGTATTTTATTTTATGTATTTAAAAACTATTCTGAGAAGGGGGCCATAAGCTTCAAAAGACTGCCAAAGGTGTCCACAACACCAAAAAAAGTTAAGGACCCCTGCTATGGAACTTCTCTATCAGTATTACCTATCCATCCATTTATCATCTCTCTCTATCATCTATCTCATCTATTCCTTTCTTATCTATTTCATCTATCTCATCTATCCATCATCGATCTCTATCATCTCTTCATCTATCTATCCATCTCATTTATCTATCCATCTATCTCATCTATCCATCCATCCATCCACCACCTACCTATCTATCCATCCATCCATCCATCCATCCATCTATCCATCCATCCGTCCATCCATCTATCTGTCTGTCTATCCATCTATCTATCTATCTATCTCTATCTATCTCTTGGAACAGACTCCACAAACAGACACTTACTGAGGCCTAGAACTCAGTAGGAGGAGAGTGAATTAGACTGTCTCTGGGTAACTTTGAAGTCTTTTAAAAGATTTTTAAGAAACCTGGTCTTTTCTCTGAAACAAAGGTCCATCTTTTCATTAACATTTCATTGCCCTGTAGGCATTAGATGGCTGTGAGTTGAAGGACACTGGTGGCTGAAGAATTGAAAATGATCATTACCCAGAGGGCATGAGTGTGAGGGGGTGCATAACCTACCCTCTCCCCCCCCCGTTATTGTGAGGATCAAATGAGATTATATTTATTAAGTGCTTTGCAGACCTGAAAGTGCTTTATAAATGCTAGTTATTATTATGAAGTGGCATATGAGACAATGGGCCTGGGAACAGGGATCCTCATGGCTTGGTCTGGGTGAGGAAAAGCCCTTCCAGGGGAGGAGATCACAAGGGAAGAAGTAGAAGGGAAAGCAGAGGACTGCCCTGGCACGTGAGAATGAAGAACTTGCTCTTGGTGCATAAATAAGGGATAACTGATGGGCAGCCCACGTGATAGACCAGTATAGAATGTGAGGAAGGCCTCCACCATGTTGGGTAGATCTCCCTGCACCACGATGAAATGATGGGAAGACATGACCAAGTTGCCTGGAATGGGTTGAGATACGCATCTTGGAGAGAATGCCCACATCAGTGAGATCCAAGGTCAGTTGGAGTATTTGAAAGTCACGTGGATGATGAATTAAATTTGCTCTGCTTGGTCTGAGAGGACAGAAATGCTACCAATGGATTACAGAAAGAAGGCTTTAGGATCATTGTAGGGAAAACATTTCTAACAATCAAAGTTGTCCCAGAGTGGATGGGCCACTTGGGTGGCTGAAGGTCTCCAGCGGAAGCTGAATAGCACCTGGTTGGGGGGTGTCCTATTTTGGTACAGGTTGCACTAGAAAGCTTTAGCAGTTCCTCCCAGCTCAGAGATGCTGTGATTTTATTTCTCCTGGCTAAGTCAGGAGGCTTTTTCTCACTCATCACAATTCAGGATGGTCTGATGCAGGGATTAGGGCCTGTTAGACACATTCCCTCCTGGTGGGGCCTGGGTGTCCTCAGAATAGCAAGAGGGATGTCATAGACTGTTGAGAATTGCCTCAGTCCCAGCCTTACTCTTCCCTGTCCCCCCAGTTCTGTTCTGTTCTCCCCTTCCAGCCCTGACCAAGTGTTTCAGCCTCTCAGGCAACCTCCTTTTGCTTATTCAGGGCTACTGGTGCCAGCTCTCCTGAGTTTTACCTTGTCCACATGTGCCCAAGACGTCTGTCTGCCAGGAATGCTGTCTACCTTGCCGCATGGATGCTAGGGGGCACTCCTTGGACCTGCCAACTTGATGGGGGCCTCTACATGCCCCCCCCCACCCTGGCTCACCGGCTCCTGTGTGGGGTTTTTCCATCTCCCTTTCTGGGGTTGCTGTGCTTCCTAAAGGCCCCCTTAAATAGACCTGGCCCCCCAGCCAAGCCCCACCTCACTGTTCTGAAGGACTGGAGGTCACCCGTTCTTAACCTGAAGCATCCATTGGACTCAGCCTTCTAGTCCTACAAGGCAGAGGCCTTTAAGAGAGCCACAAGCTCCTGGCTGTGCCGAGTGTGCGGCCAGCATGGTCAAACCTAAGGACAAAGGCAGGAAGGGAGAGCTCGCCCTCAGGCCCAGGGCCTTGAAAATGTGGCCAAGCATTTCTTCTGGGCCCTAAATAAACCCATGGAAAGTTCTTTAAAATTTCTCCAGAGTCAGGGATAGGGTGGGAAGGCAAACGCTGGAAGAATACCCAGGATCATCTGTAAACTGGAGCAGGGGAGTTACCCTAGAACCTCTAAGGCTCCTTTCTAGATTTAGCCTTCTCTCTTCCACCAGCCAAGAATCTATTCATGCCCCAAGCACTGAGGCACTTTAAGCCTTGCAGAGACTAGATCCAATCACAGGTAGGCCTCTCCCCCACCTCAGCCCCCCAAGCCGGGCCAGGGGATCTCCGGCCAGAAGGCCCCTCTCCCACCTCAGCCCCCCAAGCCGGGTAGGGGATCTCCAGGCAGAAGGCCCCTCCCCCACCTCACAGCCCCCCAAACTGGACAGGGGATCTCTAGGCAGAAGGCTCCTCCCTCACCTCACAGTTCCCCAAGCCAGGCAGGGGGTCTCCAGGCAGAAGGCCCCCTCTCCCACTTCCACTTCCCACAAGTGGAGCCCCTGCAGGGTCCTCTCCATCCGGGCAATGTCCAAAAGGATATTCCTGGCATGTTTTTCCTTCACGGCCACTTCCTGGGTATTAATGGCTTTATTGATGCTGACCGTCTGAAAAACAAACAGCAGAGAAGGGGGGTGAGATGAATCAGCCTGACAGTGGCCCCCGAGGTCTCGAGACCCCCCATCCCTGCCCTCTGCTCCCCAAGCCCCTTCCCAGGGCCAGACCCCCGGCCGGAGCTGGGGCTGAGGGGCTGGGGGCTGGGCTCCCAGGCCAGCTGGCCGTGGCACCCGGGAGGGATTTACTGCCGGCCTCTTGTTAGCCTCAGCTGCTGCCCCTGGGCTGCCACTCATTCACTGGGCACAACAGCAGCGATTAAAGCTGCCACAAAGAGAAGCTTTTCATTCTCCAGGGAAACATTATTTCTCTGGGGGCAGAAAGAAGAGGCAGGAAGGGCCAGAGGAGAGCCACTCCCCCTCCCATCTGCCCTCAGCAGGCTGGGAGCTGCTCCTGGAGCCATCCAACGGTCTATCTGTCCATCCAGCTGGGCCGCTCCTTCCCTCTAGTCAAGCCGCTGCTTCCAGGAAGCCTTCCCTGACTAACCCAAGGCAGCAGCTCTGCAGCTGGCTTCAGGCATTCCCATTTGCTTGGTCAAAACAGAGTGTGTGGAGGGACGTTGGAACTGCTGACGATAACACCGCATCTTAATGCGCCGATCACTCTCTTTCTGTCCCCTTCTGGCTTACTACATCATGGCGGCCATCCAGCCAACACCGGCTTTACAGATGAGTAAACCGAGGCTGGAGCGGCTGGCCTGAGGTCACAGTGTCCTGACTGGGAGCAGAGCCAGCTGTGAGGACAGACGGTGCAGCCTTCTTTCCTGTGCCGGCCCTTCTTTATGGGCCAGCCTTCCTGTCCACCCGTGAGCCCCAGGCATTCCCCAGCCTGGCGGACCCAGAGACTCTTCAGTCAGCGCTGTGACTTTGTAGTGACATTTATTTGGGACTCATTGGGACACTTCCTTTTCAGTACAACCTTACACAGTGAACTCCCAGAAGAAAAATCACTAGCCCAACGGGCACGATCAATCTTATGACCATTAATTATATTGAGAGCCGGCCTCAGAATCAGGGAGACCAGAGTTCAAATCCTGCATCTGACATAGGCTGGCTGTGTGACTTTGGGAAAGTCACTTACCCTCCCTGAGTCCACCGCAGAGGAGGTGCAGATAGGCATCAGTAGGGAGGTTCCTCACCCAAAGTTCCCTTCCCTAATGAAATCACGGGTTCCTTCCCTACCTTGGCTTCTAACTGGTTCATACCAATTTACAGTTTCACTAGTAATGGGCAGCCAGGTGGTACAGAGGAGAGCAGAATCAGGAGGACCTGAGTTCAAATCCAGCCTCAGACACTTACCAGCTGCGTGACCCTGGGCAAGTCACTTAAGTCAGGTCAACAAGCATTTATTAAAGCCTTACAATGTGCCAGTGCCTAGCACTATACCTAGAGCATAGTAGGGGCTTCATAAATGCTTGTTGACTTCTCTAGCACTGTATGTAACCTCTCTGCCTCAGTTTCACCATTTGTAAAATGGAGGTTAGAGCACTGATTTCACAGGGTTTCTGTGAGGATCACATGAGATACTCTTGCTAAAGTGCTTCAGGAATCTCAAAGAGCCATTTAGACGTGAGCTCTTTCTTGTGACTTATTCAGCGTTCCCCAGCCACTGGGCATGAAAGTTGCTTCCCGTGGTTTTTTTTTTTTTTCTTCCCCCAATAAAGCCAGTTTGGATGCTTCTGCACAGATGAGCCCCTTCCCCCCTCAGTGACGTCCTTAGGACAGATGGACAGCCCGGCTTGCTGGGTCAAAGGAGCTGATCAGACTGTGTATCCTTTTACGTCCTGCCAGACTGTTCTGGCACTGACCTGGAGCGTCACCCACAGTGTCAATGGATGGAAAGGGCCTGTTTCCCTGAAGTCCTGCCATAATTGAATTTTATCCCTTTTAAAAAAGCTTTTCGGGGGCCAATTTGGTGCTTTCCTGACTCTCCCTGCCCACAAAGACCTCTCATTTCTCCAAACTTTCAGAGTCTATTCCAAAGACTCGGACAGTTGGTATCTCAGTCCCCCCCTCAAAAAACAGATTAATTAAGGTCCTCCGTGGCAGAGAGGGGTCACTCCCCACAGCTCCAGCTACAGTTACGTCTACAGTTAGTCTGTGGGGCATGTGGCCTGTCCTCCACCTTCAGACCCTGTTGCTGCCTCTCAAACCAAGGAAAAAGCTGAGTTCTGAGGGTGCCCTGGGCCAGCCAGTGAGAGAGGTGAGTCTAGTGGTCCCACAGCTGACTGTCTTGCGTCTGGAAAAGCTGGGGCTAGAGAACGTCCCCCCACCTCCCAGGACTTGCTGTTCTCAGGGTTTTCCTGGAGTCACGGAGGCCTGAGACCATACAGTGCTTGCCCTGAAAGAGCATATTGTACACCGCTTCCTGACCCAGCCCTTCTGTACCAGGCTGGTTCCGGAGGGCCAATTATCAGCAGCCACACACAGGAAGGACATCTTTCTCTTGGGCACCCCTCCTACTTCCATCCTCTTCCCCCTTGAGGCAGCCTAGATGGGGCTGCAGCCAGAGGGGGAAAAATCACCCCACTGTTTTCCTATGGGAAGCGGGGCATGGGCCCTGCCCACTCAGTGCCAGCTGGGCTCTACCCAGTCACGAACACAGCTCCTGGCCAGGGCCCAACACTAGAGCTGCCTCCTGCATGCCCAGGGCCAGGCTGGCTCATTAAGGCTTTAGGGCATGGGGTGAGCAAAAGGAAAACAGCCGGGGGCAGAGGCTATAATAGGGCCTTATACAGGGGTCACTTCAGTCCCGAGGGACCACGAATGGTTTAGAAAAGATTACTGGCAGGTGTGCGTGAGAAATGGAGAAGGAGGAAGAAAAAAAAGAAGGAGAGAGCGAGACAGAGATAGAGATAGATGGGGGGGGGAGAAAGGGAGGAAGAGAGAGAGAGAGAGAGAGAGAGAGAGAGAGAGAGAGAGAGAGAGA